CCATTTCCGGTCGCCGAATACGTCTCGACGCGGCGGCCTGCCGGGCCGTCGCTTAGTGGGGAGCTCACGGGGCCTGCGGGCGTCGAGTTCCCGCGCCTGGGGCGTGCACCCCCGCGGGGTGGCTGCCCGGGAGCCACTAAGCCCACCCTCGGTCCCCCTCGTGCCCTCAGCAGCCATCGGGGTCCTCTCTTGGGCCTGCTCCCTCTTCTGTTTTTCTATTTTATTTTTCTTTAAAATGTGTCTGGCTCGGGTGTTTATAAGATGTCTGGCTTTGGGGGTCTTTCACAGAGACAAAGCAGTTTTCCCAGAGGGGGAAACGGTTCACCCAGAAGGACCCTGACAGCTGTGGTGCCAGCATGGCATTAATGGGGAAGGGTGGGGAATCTGGGGGCTGGAAAAGGGGGCTGGGCCCCGGGGTGGGGGCTGAGGGCATGGTCAGGGGTTTCATTTTTCTGGGGTTGCTAGTCAGCACTGTGAACCCCAACTGCTTGCCATTTTCCTCAGCACCTGCAGTTCGAGTCTGATGAAAATAGCAGAATGCAGATCCTTGAATTTTCACACAAATGTAATTATAGTACATCTAGCAACTGTGGTGGACACAAAATTCTAGTGGAATCTTCAGTTCTACTACCAAGACTCCCCACCCCACCCCCATACAACTATACCGGCTGTGGTCTTCTGGAGCTAGAAATGATGCCTTGGCCAAATGCAGTTGGAGCAGGTTTGGGGCGTGGCGGTACCTTAAGCTGGGAAGCAGAAACCTGTGTCCAGGAAGGTGGATTTTACGAAAATACAAACCCCTTAAATGGCACTTCATAGTTTATAACAAAAGGACTTTTACACATGCTGCCTCATCTGCCCTCCATAGCAACCATGTCAGATCTTTCAGTCCTCATTTTCCAGAGGAGAAACCTGAGGCTTAGAGAATTGAATGTCTTACTGAAAAGTCACAGAACAGAGCTAGGATTCCCGCTTGGTTTTCTGACTACAAATCTTCACCCTTCCCCTGGCCTTCCTTTGTTGTTGTTGTTAGCTGTCGCCAGTCAGCTCTGACTCATGGTGACCCCATGTATAACCAAGCAAAATATTGCCTGGTCCTGTTCCATCTTCATTATCCAAGTCCATTGTTGTGGCCATTGTGTAGTACCTTCCAACCTAGGGCGTTCATCTTCCAGCACTATATTGGACGATATTCTTTTTTTTTTTTTAATTGTACTTTAGATGAAGGTTTACAGAACAAACTAGCTTCTCATTAAACAATTAGTACACATATTGTTTTGTGACGATGGTTACCAATCCCACGACATGTCAACACTCTCCCTTCTCGACCTTGGGTTCCCAATCACCAGGTTTCCTGTCCCCTCCTGCCTTTTAGTCCTTGCCCCTAGGCTGGTGTGCCCCTTTAGTCTCATTTTGTTTTATGGGCCTGTGTAATCTTTGGCTGAAGGGTGAACCTCAGGAATGACTTCATTACTGAGCCAAAAGGGTGTCCGGAGGCCATACCCTCGGGATTTTCCAGCGTCTGTCAGGCCAGTAAGTCTGGTCTTTTTTTTGGGGGGTTAGGATTTTGTTCTACATTTTTCTCCAGCTCTGTCCAGGACCCTCCATTGTGATCCCTGTCAGAGAAGTCAATGGTGGTAGCCAGGCACCATTTAGTTGTGCTGGACTCAATCTGGTAGAGGCTGTGGTAGTTGTGGTCCATTAGTCTTTTGGACTAATCTTTCCCTTGTGTCTTCAGTTTTCTTCATTCTCCCTTGCTCCTGACAGGGTGAGACCAGTGGAGTATCTCAGATGGCAGCTCCCAAGCTTTTAAGACCCCAGATGCTACTCACCAAAGTAGAATGTAGAACATTTTCTTTGTAAACTATGTTATGCCAGTTGAGCTAGATGTTTATATCGGACAGTATTCTGTTGCGATCTGTAGGGTTTTCATTGGCTAATTTTTGAAAGTAGATCACCAGGCCTTTCTTTCTAGTCTAGAATATCCACAATGGGTGACCCTGTTGGTATTTGAAATACCAGCAGCATAACTTCCAGCAACGTGCAAGCTACTACAGTATGACAAACTGACAGGTGGTGGTGGGCTACCTTAGCAAGTTATTTTTCAACCTCCTCACGTGAGCAGGACAAGATTCTGTGTGGTATGCTGACGATTTACTAGTCTTGGAATTGGGTTTGTCACTTATAGTCTGACTGGAAAAAGAAGGTTTACTGTAGTGATTGAACCAATGAGAGAACAAGGAAACATTCAATGCTGGGGTCAGTGTAGTGGGAGTTGAGAAGAGAGAGAGCTCAGAGTAAGGATAACCTGGAAAAGTTAGGAACTTGAGTTTGAAAGAATGGGGAGGCAAGGCCTAGGTGGAAAAGGAACAGATTTCCAGGACTAGCCACAATTGCTTCTGTGTTGGACGCTGACCAACTGACCAAAACCAAAAACCAAACCTGTTGGCCATCAAGTCAACTCTGACTCGCAGCGACCCTATAGGACAGAGTAGAACTGCCCCATAGGGTTTCCCAGGAGCGGCTGCTGGGTTTGAACTACTGACCTTTTGGTTAGCAGCTGTAGCTCTTAACCACTGTGCCACCAGGGCTCCGACCAACATTCTTTCTATTTTTTACAGTAGCGTTATTATCTCCATTTCACAGAGGAAGAAACTGTGGCCAGCCCATGGTCACCCAGCTGAGTTTGAGCCCAGGCCTGTGTGACTGTTGTGTGTTTATGCCCCCTGCCTCCTGTAACCCCCTCTGTCTCAAATATGTAGATAAGAACAGGGCCCAGGGGTCCTGAATCAGCAAATACACTTGGATGGGGGCTCAAGCTAAAAGGTCAACAGGCTCCCCAAGGCCAAGGAGTTCTACTGAACTAGCTCAGCATCCCAGGACCCTGTGGCCTGGTGCAGGTGTTCTCAGTAGGTTTCTGGAAGGAGGAATGAGTCCTGAGCATAGAGATCTTAGTAAGTTCAGTTCTTTCGTGCCTGCCAGGGCCTGGCCCGCTGCCCTGGAGGAGGTTGTAGCTTGGGGAAGAGACAAATACGAATGACAAGGACAAGGACTGAGTCTGATTCATCCCTTGTGAATCCTAGTCTGTCTTAGTCACCAGTGGAGGTGCCATGGGCTCAGTCATTATGTTGTCCAATTGAATTACGCCCCAGTGAAGAGGAGGAAAGTTTATTTTGCCTAGGAATGGAAGGTCTTCCAAGAAGTGCCGTTTGAGCATATAAAACATGGGTGGAGAAAGGCCAGAGAAAGGACGTTCTGAGCAGAGGCACTGACGCAGGCAAGGCAGGTGTCTTAGATTCTTTGTGCTGCTATAACAGAAATATCACACGTGGGTGGCTTTAATGAACAGAAATTTATTTTCTTACAGTTAGGAGGCTAGAAATCTGAATCCAGGGCACTGGCTCTAGGCGAAGGCTTTCACTCTGGGAGAAGGTCCTTGTCTCTTTCCAGCTTCTTGTTCCTTGGCCGTCTCCAGGTGGCATAAGTCTTTCCCAGTTTGTCCTTGCTTGCTGCCGTGCCTAAGCTGCTCCTTTTATATTTCAGAAGTGATTGACTTAAGACACACTCTATACTGATAAGGCCTCATTAACGTAACAAAGAAAACCCTATTCCCAGATGTGATTGTATCTACATGTATGTTGTTGTTGTTAGGTGCCATCGAGTTGGTTCCGACTCATAGCAACCCTATGTGCAACAGAACGAAGACTGCCCGGTCGTTGTTATGCTTGAGCCCATTGTTGCAGCCACTGTGTCAGTCCATCTCGTTGAGGGTTTTCCTCTCTTTTGTTGACCCTCTGCTTTACCAAGCATGAGGTCCTTCTCCAGGGACTGGTCTCTCCTGATAACATGTCTAAAGTATGTGAGACAAAGTCTCGCCATCCTCAATTCTAAGGAGCATTTTGGCTGTACTTTTTCCACATGTATAGGGATTAGGATTTGCAACACATATTTCTGGGGAACACAATTCAATCCATAACAGCAGGCGAGTGTAGAGAAGGGAAGGGGTAGGTCAGCTGGTACAGCACAGTATGGGGGGGCAGGTATGAGTTTGGGTTTAAGTCAGGCTCTGTTTCCCTGCATGATCCCTTTGATTCTCTGGACCTCAGTTTCCCCTTCTGAACAAGAGCCTTGAGATTTGATGCTGTTTGATAGTAATCTGTGGGAGAAGCCCAGTACCCTGGGATGGGTAGGAGACTCAGGTGAGAGAGGAACTAGGGGATTTTAAAATTTTTGTCAGTTTGCACACACTGATCCAGCAGTTACCTCGTAGCCAGGCCCCGCTCTGAGCGCTTTTCCCTAGATTGGCTTATTAAATCTTTATAACAGATAACTCTA